TTTACTACATGCAAAAAGTGCTGTAAGTTAGTACTGAATCATTTTTTCACATTTAAATCTTGTCATTTAATATAAACACGTTCATTAAAGGTTACATGCAAATTTCACAACGATAACTACAGACCTTTATCTCATACTGATTTCTTTTGGTAGAGTATACAAATAATGAAGAAAAGACGTAAAGAAGAGAAGTGCACTCATCAAAGAAGGGTTTTTAAGATGTGGACTGTGCAAAAGCCAGCTGCAAAGGACTGTCAGGGATATGCACCTGATTATTATACTCCACTAATAGGATACCATATGGCTAATGGGATATAGCACTGAGCAGAGCATGCCCCAATGTGTAGGTAATGTTGTGCTGCTTACTGCTAGTCCCTAAGAGACCAAATCAGGAGTTACAGGGAGAGGCCAGGACCCCACCCTGCCCTAACCAAAGGACACTTTTTATAGATGCACAATGCAGTAACCTAATGTTCAAATATTACACTAATATATGTATTAAAATGTACATTTTTATATGACTTACCACATGAAAACACCTCGAGTAGAGTTTAATTATGAATCACATTCTCTAACATATATGACATATAGTAAGCAGTGGTGGAGGAAGTATTCAGAGCAACACAGCAAGATAAAAATTCTCCCTTACAAGTAACATCCCCGCATTGAAAATGTCACTTAAGTATTGTTGAAAAAAAAATCAAATAAATATCAAAAGTAAAATGGCGCATGTGAGTGTTATACTATTCTATATAATTATTAGATTATTACTACTGATGCATTCACGTGTAGGTGGCATTTTACAGTAGGTTGTCGAGGTATAGCTACTGTTTTACACACTGTAAGGTCATTTAATCTATAGGTGCATCATATTTTATAAGTGTTAAATAAATGTGTTGTAAAGGAGTACAAAGTTCAACATTCCCCTGTGAAATGTTGTAAAGTAGAGGTATAACATACAATTGATTTACTCAAGTAAAGTGCAATGTGTAATATTGAGTAGGCAGCCTTGTACTAAATTGTTTGGCATTTCATTTATTAAGTGAGCATTTTTGAAGGCCTAATTATCCTCTAATATATGATGTTCACTCACACTGAGTGATTTACAGTGGCTCGTTTGTAAATTATTTATCAGCAGACACAGAGTGTTGTGTTTACTGACATCCCTGCCTTTTAATTAAGGAGACAACGGAGATGAGAGCACGTCACATCACACGTCCTCATCGACCCGTGACGTCTTGAGCCACCGGGAAGTGATTTCGTCCTGCCAAGAAAAAAATCCCTGCACGTCCATTGGTCGAAAGCATAGGTGTGTCAGGGGGGTGTGTGCGCCATGTCGCCGTCCGTCGCTACGTTACTTCCTGCCGAGGATGAACGGAGCTTTTGACAGCACGCAGGAAGGCGACGCATCAAGTTTTCAGCAGAGCAGATCGGTCTCAGTGTGTCGGAGCGTCCCGTGACCAAAACACCTCCTTCTTCTGATCATAGACAGATGTCCATCCCGGCACCTGGAAATGCTTCGGATCGCAGCCTCTGAGGTAATTCATACGCTTTATCTCAAAACTGTTATCTCAGTTGGATTATAAACCTTACAGGGCCTGTTGTTGTTTTAAAGACTTTACAGCGGAAAGTAATGTTTATCTCGCCTTCAAGACAGCATTTAAGTGAAAAGGGCTTTCTTGGAAGACTAAACTGTTAATCGTACTGCACTGTAGCTGCTGACTTCTGTCTCCTGCTTCTGTATAAAAGCCGAATGCAGCCGATTGTTCTCAGTATCTTGTTTTATTTTGTGAGCCCCACTTCCTGGCTAGTCATGGCTTCACCTGTTGTTGTAATAAACACACACACACACACACACACACACACACACACACACAGTGTCAAGGAAAAGCCACTCCAGTCAAATGCAAAGCTAGTTTTATGATCTAGTTTCTCAAACTGGGGAAGTAGGTTTTGGGATTTGCTCTGAGGCCGATTCTTATGGTCTGTGTGTCTCACGGATGACCTTGCTGCAGAGAGGTCAAGATCCTGATCTAGCAGAGGGGACCACCGAATGGGGTCTTGATCCTGCTTCTGTTGTGTCCTCGCTGTCATCTGCTAACATGCTTTGTTGATTGCAGCTGACAACAGTGCAGCTCCTGTTTCCTCTTCTCCTGTGACCTAAAGATAGAGCCGCTCTGTCTGAAATTATAGTTCCTCTGGGATTTAAAACACAATGTCCTCTGAGGTGATGGGGAAACATGGGGTGGGCCATGGGAAAAAAGTAGTATCAACCCAGTTAAGAGGTTATTGTCGGCCAATTTTATGTATATCAACACGGAGACCCAACATATTTAAAGAATAAAATAGGTTGAAGTTACAGACAGGTGGGTTCACCAGAAACTTGTGACCGTCAACTAAATAACTTGTTGAGTCTTTTTAAGAGTAAAAGAATGTCAGAGGCAACATAACTTCAGAGCAGATTTTTATCATTCAGTTAGGGCTGCAACTCATTTTCATTTGTGTTGTTTATTATTTAGATTAATCCACTGTTTGGTCTATAAAACGTCAGAAAACAGTGGGAAATGCCCATCACAAAATCAGCAAATGTCTTGTTTTGTCTGAACAATAGTCCAAAACCACAAATTATTAAATTCACTGTAATGCAAGACCAAGAAAAGCACTGAATTCTCACATTTGAGAATTGGGGACAATCAAATGTTGCTTGAAATATGACTTCAACGAGTATCAAAAATCATTTTATTAACAAAAAAGTGATTAACTAAACTAAACATTGCAATGAAATGGTTTGGCTTGTGTTGAGATCGAATCCTACACATTTTGGATACAACCTGTGTTGGAGATGTTGAAAAGACATCCATGCCCAGAGATAGAAGGGAAAACATGAGCTACGTGCGTTACTTGAGTTTATTGTGTTGCAGAGAATTTGCCAAATGTACCCTTTGATGGAGAAATCTTTGTCGACTGCCAGGACTGAGTTTGTCTGAGGGCAGATGTTATGCACCAAAGCAGCTCGACAGACAAGTTAGACAACAGTTAGTCAACAGCTATCTCAATCTGTGTCTCGACGACACACACTATATGTTACAGTGAACAATAAACTCCAGGCACAGCCCTATGTCTTTTTACACACACTCACAGATTTCCCCCCACTTGCACAATGTTGGAATAATGTCAGGACCTGTCCCCTGAAATGCTGCAACCCAAAAACTAGATAAACAAGAACAAGCATTCTTTGATCAAACACGTACTCAGTGTCTGGCCTCTGGAGTTGACAGAGTGCAACACGTTCTACCCAGAGAGATAAAGGCAACATTTAACCTAATTGTCACATTCAACCAGCCCTCTTTAACTTCCCACTCTCATCTTACTTAATGTTTCCTCTGTGCTCAGCTTACAGATGTATGCAGCTGTGTAAACTGAGATTTTGCATTGGGATTGCCCCATAGCCAAAAATCTCTCCATGTATTAGATCAGAGATACAGCATGTTAGGGATTCCTGCCTAGATGTAATATACCTTTTGTTAGCATTATAACACAGATACAGTTGTGTGTAATAATGTAAGAGCAAGTATTTAGGAGACTCCTGTTTTTCTGCCTTTATCTCACACTTAAAGGCTTTACAGGCTGCATGCTTTGTAAAGTTGTCATCTGACAAGCCAGCCAGACTACAGTCTATAGAACAACAGCGGCAAACATCTGCCGCCATGAATTACTGGAAGTTGGAGGGAGCGTTACAGAATATGGCCATGGTGCTATGATGTTGTGTGATGGCTCAAACAGATGTCCTTTACCCTGCTGTGAGCAGCTGGGAGCTCCACCAAACTCCCTCCCACACATATACTTTAGGAACCATTCTAAGAGGACAGACAGCCAGAGACATAGACAGAAACTGACTTAAAGCTGGGTGTCCGTACACTGAAAAGCTATTCATACAATGTAAAACAGCATGTATGATGGTACAGCATCGGTCTATAAATCAGAGCTTTGCAACAAACTGCAGTTTGTGTACTTTGGCTATTCAGGTTGGAAATTAATCTGTGAGTAATGTGCTACTGTTGACTCTATGGGCATGGTTCCCTTTTTTTAACAATCACCTTCACATTATGAACCTTACCTCTGGCATTAGTAGCCTAAGTGTTACACCTATAGTAATAGTTTGTAATGTTTTATCTGAAACATGGGAAACCTACAACCAGCCAAATCCGAGAGCAAAAGGCACAAACAGATAGTGGTGTGCTCAGTGGTAACTCTTGGGATGCACATTCACAAATTCACAAAACAAAACGCTAACAGAAAACTCCTCAAGACAATAAATAAAAACCAGGGAAATAAAGCAGCTCTGAGCTACCCCTATACATGATGTGTTGCGTCTGTAGAAATGTAGTTAATATAACTAATAGTATAATAATATAATAAGTTGCAGCCTTATTGCCCGGTGCATGGGCTCTTCCTCTGTTGACTGATGGTTCCAGTAAACATTAGTTGCCACACAGTATAATTTTCAGCCAGTGGAGCGTTAATGGTCAGGCAAAATCTCAGACAGCTGACAAACGTATATTGTCTCGCAGTATAAATCGTCATATCCGCCCCAACACTAATCCACACTCAAATGCGAGGCTGGCATTTTCAGATTCTTTCACCCCAGAGACCCTTTTCAAACAGTTCCGTTTTCCAACATGACAACAACTAACAAGCCCACAGCCAGAGTTCTGTCTGATCTAACTCAGGGAGGTTTGGAGAAAGTTAAGCTCATATGTTTATGTTTGAAATGGGCGGAGACATGACAGGTTTTTGTTTTACTTAAACAAATGAAAAGAAGTTGCACCTGATCTGAAAGCTAACTAGAGTTTTTTTCTTCCGGAGCTCTGGATGTTTTGAAACTCACAACCAATCTAACGGTTGCCTCATTATCACCCACTGTCCTAATTCTCTCTCCCCTTTCATCCCAGTCTGGTGAGTGAGGGGTTGTTCCTCCCAGGTTTGGTTTGAGCTCCACCATGGCAGGGGATCTCTTTAGCCCCCCATCCCCACTGGGGGATTCCCTGCTGGACAGTCCGCTGTGTGGAGACCTGATGGAGGATCTGCGTGACATCTCCAAGACTATAGGAGGTGACACGCTGGGATTTGATTTCCCAGAGTACCAGAGCACAGGCTCGGGGTCTGAGAGCTCCATTGCGCTGGGTGAGTACTCAAATTGTCACAAGGTACATGAGGTACATAAAATAACTTATAAGTAAATGAATAAATTGACCACCAGAAGGTCTCTAGCTGCTTTTAAAATTGTACTGAACGTGTCATTCATGAACTCCTGCTGACAGGTGATGTGGAGCATTACAAAAGTGACCTTCTGGATCCACTCTGCCACATGTAAATGCACTGACGGGACCAATGTACAACACTGTGTGTCTGATAACAGCAGATTAGATACAACTCAGTTCCTTTCTCTCTGTGTCTCCTCCATGATGTTGTCTCCAAATTCCTGAGCAGCACTTGAACAAATGGCCAGTGCTGTTTATGGAGACCCATCAACTAAAAGTCCTTAAGTGTGCAGGAGACACTTACCCAGTATACTCAAGCAGACAAAGGCAGTGGCGTGTTTGACAGAAACCATCAGGGTACGAAGTGAAATACAGTTTCTGTCAAGGAAAACAGGTGAATTTATCCTGATCTGTGTAACAGATATCTTGTTTTGCCATCACTGTGATGGTTCATTTGTTAAAGAGTCCAATATCAGGGTTGTTCCAATTATACAGAAATAAATAAATAATAATTTAAATCCACATTATAATGCAGTATGCAAAAATAGAAACGGGAGCTTGTTCTCATTGTTATAACTAGTTGTTCAATATGTTTTCTTTGTTTTACAGATGTTTGTTGCATGTAGGTATTCCCAGAACTGCTGTTACAGTACATAACCTTTCTTACATTTACCTTCTGCTCACTGGCTTATTTTATCACCCAGTATATATGGTTGAAAGGTGGTTGTTTTTTTCGTACTTGTGAATGACATTCAGCCCTGAAGTCAAAAATAATTAAGAGTATTATTGGGAAGTATACTTACTTGCTTTCATGCCAAGAGTTAGCTGAGAAGATCGGTGCCACTCCTGTATCTGTATGCCCTACAGCAAGCAGCTGGTTAGCTTAGCTTTAACAATGGAATATCTAGCCTGGCTCTGTCCAGCTCTACAGCTCACATATTACACCAACATGTAACCTGTTCCTGCTACATGCCTGAAGCTAAGCAGGTGTGGGCTTGGGTAGCACTTAGATGGGTTGCTGCTGGAAGTAGGGTTGGTGGGCCAGTAGCGGGCACTCTTCCCTCTGGGCCTAATTAAAAAAAAAAACAATTCCCAGTGACGGGGATGCTGTAGGAGATACAGTTATACAGATGAGATAAGTTTCGACTTCCTGACTCACTGTGGTCATTAAAGATCCCATGGCTCTTATCGCAAAGAGTACGGGGTTCCCTGGTTTCCTGGCAAAATTTCTAATCTGGCTCTCTCCATCTGGCAATCTAATCATCCCCCAGTGTAGTTAGCTCTATGTTTTCCTCCCTGTCCATCTCAAGCTGATGTGTGGTGAGCGTCTGCCATGCATCACCCTAGTGGGAGATACACATTGGTGATTAAAGGTGAGTTTCCCCCCTTCACTCTTAAAGATTCAGCGTGTAAGATTAAAGTTCTCTATCTGCAGAATATGGCCATAAGATTCAATTAGAATTGATGTTTTTGTCACCTTCGACTGAGCTCTTCATATCCAACACGCTACTCCCTTTAAGCGCTTTGAGTATCAAGATAAATCTAATGGTAATCCTTTACATATTATATCTCGTTTGTTAAACCTGTTGAAAACATACATGCTAAGCTAAGCTAACTAGCTGCTGGCTGTAGTTACACGAGTCATGAGACATACTGAATGAGTGGTTTCGATCTTCTCATCTTAAAAGTGAATAATGTGAATTCTTTTTTAGTAAAATTTTACAATAGGATTGAATTGATTCAAAGCGTAGCCTAGTGAAATCATACGCTGTTGTCTCCTTTCTACTTTGTTGTTGGCTATAGACACCTTGACCCCAGCCTCCAGTCCATCGTCCGGGGTGTGCGGAGCAGCTCCAGGCCCAGAGGAGAGCGTCACTCCCCTCAACCTGGACTGCCGGGTGTGCTCAGACAAGGCTTCAGGCTTCCACTACGGGGTGCATGCGTGTGAGGGCTGCAAGGTATGCATGTACATAGTTGAACAAAGTGAGAAGGGACATAAAGACAGAGCAAATGTTCCCGTGTGCTGCAAAGGTAAATGTTGTCTTTCATGCAACTGTATCAAAGGTGAAAAGACACCACACAAACACACTTGTGTGTATGCACGCGCACAAACACATGCACGCACACCCAAACACATATAAAGCTAGGCATGCAGAGGTGCTTGACTTAGAGGCCAGTGGAAGGTTTCTGAGACACGTAGCCAGATCATGTGAGGTGGGGGACATAGTGGCCTTGGCTGACTCGTCACCTCTCCCCTGCTTGGCACAGAGCCCAACTGAGTGACATTAATACACACACACGGAGATGCTGCTGGCACAGATACCTGCTGTGTTTGATGCTAAATATTCCCTTTTTACTGGGTCATCTTTGGGATTTAATGATATGAGAAAAAGGCAAATCCATCAGGCCTGAATTAGTCTTGCTCACCAGGACATTTCTGTGCTGAAATTCCTTTTAGATTTTAGGGAGCACAAAAATGTCATTAGAAAACAGTAACAGTGAGATCACTTTGTAGCTGATGCTCAGTGGTCAGTTCCTTGCGCTAAAGGCTCATCCCTGCATTGTTTGTCAAGTCATGTGAGCTTGTCATAGTCTCATACCTCTCTAAACCGATGGCAGGTTGTTGCTGCTAATCTGAGCCGTTGTTTGCTATTTCTGCATGACTTTTTAACTTGTGACCTCGTCCGCTTTAAAGTTTTCTCCCATAAGCCACAGCTGCTCCATCTTGACATTGTGTTTATTTTACGCAACAACAGCAACATAATGGCCAAGAAATCAGACAGAGTTGTTTCAGATGCTACTGGTGCGCTCCTTTTTCTGTTTCCTCAATAATCACCCCTTTTTTCCGTGCTGGAGAGAGAGTTTTTTTCACTCCTCTGATCTGGCGCTCCGAGACAGGGAGAAGGCTAACAATGTGCAATTTTTATTTCTCTGTCCAGGTTTTGCAGAATGTCCTGTCAGTTGCAAAATGCACATCTGGGTGTTTTTAGAGTGCTGCCAAACTGGCCATCTCCCTGCAGGGCTCTGGTTTCAGACTCACATCTCATTCATCATAATTAAAACAAAATAATGCTCATCTTTGTTTGCCCTTGCGTCTGACTACTGCTATTCTAAAGCAGGGACGTAATGACGCTTAACTGTTTGACCCTGCACATGCGAGGGGTGTATTTTGACCTCACTCCTAAAATCTGGCTTGTGATGTGTAGGAGTCACAGTTGACGGTTTCTATGTTGAACAGGCTCTGTCATATAATTTTCAACACATCGCTTTAAGAGAGCCGCGCTCAGTAGTGGGAATGTGAATGGAATGTGCTTTGAGGCTGTGGTGGTTTAAGTCTGCTGTGATGACGCTATGGCATGTGTATGGGAATTTTAGAGCCGCTAGACACTCAGAGAAGTCCTTCAGTAATGGAAAAGTTATCAATAGGTAGAAGTTAATATGAACAGGTGTGCCACAAATGCCTGAATTGAAACATTTTTTCCCATGTGTCACTAAATGACGTTTGCCCTTAAGGAAGCATTGCACAATACATTTTGTAGTCTTGTTACTCACCTCTCATATCACAGCAAAGTACTGGCTTGACATGCAAAGACATGCATGCTGTAAACACACACATCTCTTTTATCCTCCTTGTGCATTTCTGTTGTTTTGTAATGTATTTTTAATGATCAACTATGCCTCCAACTTAAAATATCTCTCTCAACCGTTTTCGTGAAGATTACACCTATGTCCCACCCGCAAAACTAGATTTCTTGGGTTAAAAATAACACAAAAAGTGGTGTGTGTGACATATGATAACTTTTTAATAACAATGTGTCTTCAACATAAAGGCTCTCTAAAGTATCCGTTTGAGGATGGCTGATTTATTGCGTGACCATGTGGCTCCAGATAAATTGTCAGAAAACCATATTTCCTGCTCGACAGGACGAGGAATGTGTTCGTACGTCAAAGGATCATGTTCTGTCATATGGGTGACAGCCACGTCAGAGCTTACTGTACACCTTGAAGCATATATCTCTTAAAATATAGATGTAATTTCACTGTACTGTCCAACTCAAAATATAATATGACACTGGTCCTACCGGGGCATTAAATGCACGGAATGCATGTACAGTATAAAAAGTTGCTGCAGATACAGGTCTCTGAAATGCTAATGATGACCTTGGTGATCTGATGTCATGGATAAATACTAATTAATCCGCCTGTTATTTTCATGAACAGAGGAATGACTTGTTCGTGAGTATAACAGGAATTTGAATTCTGAGCTGATGTTTTATGTAGAGGAACACACAGCCTAATAACAACACTTGAGAGTAGGTAGAACAAGGTCCAATCTCCCCATGAAATTCAGAACTGAAAGCTCACTAAGCCAGAGTGGTTGGGAAGCCAAGAGCATTGTTAAATAAGGCTTAAACATGTGGTCAGACACGGGTTGGGCTGCATGCTTGGGCAGGCTCAGATCTCTTTGCACTGTGAAGTAGTTATTCTCTCTAGTTATTCTCCAACTTGCTGAATGGCAGTCGTTGTTTCTTCATGCAAAATTGATTTCTTCTCTAAAAGTCATCACAGAAGTGTCGCAAGAGTGGGTCATTTTTGACCTGGAAGGCAAGGGGAGTGTGCAGAACATAAAGACACCGATTTTAATGAATGGCTGAAGTAGCAGGAGCATTTCTGTGAGCTTTTTGTGTACTTAAATCAGAATGTTTACGTATGATCTTCAAATGAAGTTGATGGCTATAGTATGTGTCCTTCTTTCTCAACCAGGGTTTCTTCAGGAGGACCATCAGGCTAAAGCTGGAGTATGATAAGTGTGAACGCAACTGCAAAATCCAAAAGAAGAACCGCAACAAATGCCAGTACTGCCGATTCCACAAGTGCCTCTCTGTGGGCATGTCCCATAATGGTAAGGCCTGAAACCTCCAAAAATGTTGAACTTTGCTAACTTAGCTAAATAACAGACACAAGTCCTGAATTACAGAATAATTGTCCAGCACAGGATAATGGTAAATGTAATAATAATAATAATAAATTTTATTTATAATGCACTTTACATTTCAGGGAAATCTCAAAGTGCTACAACAACAAGGGGTTAAAAACAGTTCCAGAAATTAACAATCGCAATAAAACACTGTAACAAAAAATTTAAAACCATGACTGTTAAAAGGCCTTTTGAAATAAAAAAGTCTTTAGGCCCTTCTTAAAAAAAAATGTAAACATAAGAGTCATAAAATCAGTAAAATGGACTCACTAACATCAATGACACAGCATTAACTAGCTAAAGCTGACTAACATTAGATAACATTAGCCACAATAAGCTACTGGTGATACCATACCAAGTTAAGCCGTACCATAAACTGTATAATACATGGACATAGTCTCTGTGACGTCACCCATACGTTTCTGACATAGGGTGTTTCTCAGTGTTTCTCATTCTGCAATTGGAATAGCAGCGAACTTGATGAAGGCAGGTCCCGTTAGCGGGCGGGACCTCACATCTATGAAAACGTCTTAGCAAATTTTCCAATCAGCTGTATCTTGAGAAATCAAGACTCCACAAATTTCGAATTTAAATGACTGTATTCCCCCATAAAAAAGCTCTTAAAACTGCATTCCGTGACACAATAACAGCAGTATTATAACTTACAGTTGTAGGGCTGTAGAGCAAGAACACATCCAGGTATTTGACTGTACTTGGCTAGATTACGGACTCTTGAATTGGAACAGTACTTGGGCTGCGACTGATGACTTTTCACAAGTCCACAAAAACACAAGTACAGAAAAGAACGCAGATTGAGAAACAGCTAGACTGGATAAAAGAAGTTCACGTAGTCAACGTGACGTCACCCATTGGTTTGTGGACTGCCATTTTGAATCCTTGGGTTTGGCAGTTTGGCCACTGACATGTTGGTTTTTGCAACCAGACACTGGACGTGACCATATTTGGGCAAGACAGTGGTGCTAGCAAGCTTGGTTAGCTAGGTTTCTGAAGAGTGATTGTGAAGCTCAACGTGGGTAGCTCCAGCCGTTGCCATCTTGGCAAATGAAGCGTGGTTTCTGTACCCACCTGTCATTTAAAGGAGCCATTCTATTAATTATGTATGTATATTAAAAAAAAATTTTTTTTTAAAATATATATATTTATAAATAAACATGGGGGCTTATGGGGATTGACCGGATTGACTTGCTTTTGGAGCCAGCCCAAACTGCTGAGTCTATTCATTTAAGCAAGAGTGTGTTTTTATGGTTATGAATTCAACTTTTAATACATTTTTGAGAGCAAAATAATCTGTAACACTATCAGTCAAAACAGCTTTGCTTTAAAACATATATTAGCAAGTGCTAAAATCATAATACACTTCTATAGCATTGAAAGAACTTGGATATAGGCAAAAATAAGTAATATAAAACTCTGCTCATAACAGTTGACACACCATAGTATGTGTTCTTTACAACAACAGCAGGGCGTGTCTTTCTGTGATTTGGCTCCAGTTCAACATGTTTTACATTGACTGAGTTTTTAAAGAAAAATGTCCTGCTGGATCCTGCTTGACACTGAGAAAATACAGGCCCATATACTTTCACATCTGGCCTGTCATCTGCACTGACTGCTGAGGGGTCATTGGGTTTGTTACGATGGCCTCCCACTGCAGGCAGAACAGTGTCAGAAACCTGAGAGGAAGACGACACGCTGTCCTTAGAAGAGAGGAAATAGAACAGAGCGCACCAGATTGTGGGTGGATATTTGTGTGTGTCTGCACACATGCATGTTTGCTGTAGCAGGATATGTCGGATGTCTCTGTAGTTTTACTGTAAAGTAAAACACCTAGCGAGAGTCTCACCTTTGAGAGTCTTTTAGCTGTTTCTAATGATTTATGTTTTTATGCACAAGCCATCCGGTTTGGTCGGATGCCTCAGGCGGAGAAGCTAAAGCTAAAGGCAGAAAGCAAGATGGTGGAGAAAGAGGTGGCAAGTCCAATGCTGGCGGACCACAAGATTCTGGTCAGGCAGATCCACGAAGCCTACATGAAGAACTTTAACATGAACAAGGCGAAAGCTCGGCTCATACTCACCGGAAAGACCAGCACGCCGGTAAAGGATAAAAAGAAGCTAAAGTTAATATTCTTTATTCTGTCTCCTCAACTACCAACATCCTCTCCCTCACCTGTTTTCCTAGCAGCCTTTCATCATTCACGACATGGAGACGTTCCAGCTGGCAGAGAGGACGTTAGCGGTCCATATGGTAAAGGGTGACTATGCAGAACCCGAGAGTGTCCCTCAAGCTGGGGGGGTTGTTCCTGCTGTGGGGTGTGGGGAGCTCCAGCAGAGGGAGGCCGAAGCCAGGCTCTTCCACTGCTGCCAGAGTACCTCAGTGGAGACGGTCACAGAGTTGACGGAGTTCGCCAAGGCGGTGCCAGGTTTCCAGAGCCTGGATCTGAATGATCAGGTGTGTTAAGGGATGCTGCATCTGTCATTTGCCTTTCTTCTGGAGAAGAAAGATTTTACTTAACTTGAATGAAAAAGGAGCTGTTTCTTTTGTAATTTTATGTGAAAAAGGAGTTAGAGACACAAAAAACACACGTGAGTAATGCTGTGGCCTTCTCACCTGCCCGTTTAGGTGACTCTCTTGAAGTACGGCGTTTACGAAGCCCTCTTCACACTTCTGGCCTCCTGCATGAACAAAGACGGCCTCCTGGTGGCACGTGGTGGAGGCTTCATCACCAGAGAGTTCCTCAAGAGCCTCCGGCGGCCTTTTAGTGATATGATGGAGCCCAAATTCCAGTTTGCCACACGCTTCAACTCCCTGGAGCTGGATGACACTGACCTGGCGCTTTTTGTGGCTACTATTATCTGCTGCGGAGGTAACCGACATTGTTTGGAAAATTATATTTAATTATATTTAAAAGAGGGAAAACTGTAAAGAAATGGAATCCTCCTTCTTCTTTCTCCCTCTATCTGATCCCTTCCCCATCAGATCGCCCAGGCCTGGTCAACATGCCTCTGGTCGAGCAGCTGCAAGAAAGCATTGTTCAGGCACTACGGCTCCACCTGCTGGCCAACCACCCCGACAACAACTTCCTCTTCCCCAGACTGCTGCAGAAACTGGCCGACCTCCGGGAGCTGGTCACCGAGCATGCGCAGTTGGTGCAGGAAATCAAGACAACAGAGGACACATCACTGCACCCGCTCCTGCAAGAGATATACAGGGACATGTACTGACAAGATAGCACATGGTCATGAACAGGGACATGTATTAAAATATTAATGTAAGCCACTGAAAACCAGATGTACATAAATATTACTAATATATACTATTCATGCATATCAATGTACTGTAAGTAGCGTATTGTGCAGCTTCTATGGATGCACGCTGCTGTGATCTGCAGAGGCTGCACTGACCATGTGACTTAAAACTTTCTACCAGCAATAAAATTCTTTTTGGGGGGGGGAAGGCAGCTCTTGTAGGTGGCGTGACTGCTTCCATGAAAGGGGAACAAAGTGGAGAACAAACCTTTTGATCTTCTTTTAATTATTATTTTAAATGCATCAATTTGAACTTCGAGCACCCAGTTGCTATAGGTTGGGTCTTAGATGCCAGCTTTTCTTCCGTGGACACAAGAACTGAACAAAAACTGAATAAGGAGTAGGCTATGCAAATTTGCATAGTATGTAAAATGGGTGCACACATATTAGAGATACCTGGACATGACTGCTGCTGCATGCACTGATGCGAAATGTTAATTTTGCCTGTGAACAAGATAAGTTATAACATTTTGAATCTACTGAAGTGTTGGTTGTGCAAAAGGCCCTACAACTAAATGCCAGACATATTGCTAATATTTTGGATATTTAGTGTATATATGATGTGTTAATTTAAAAGACATTTGGGTTTGGGTCATATCAATGTCATGTCATTTTATCGTGTACCAGTGCCTTATTGAAATCAGCCAAACCTCCCTTGACCATTGTGAGATTAGGTGTTAAAGAACCACCTGCATCTGTATTCACCAAGTGCCATAACGAGCTCACGTTTCCTCTACTTTGGCCACATCTCCTACCTTTAGCACATAACAAATACATAGAGTAGCTTTTCTGAAAATGGGATGGATGTATAACTATTTAGTGTTGGACCAGAGAATGTTCTCACATTGTATTAAATCATAAATCATGCACAATAGTGCATTTTAAGCAGGCAAAGAACTAAAAGGAGACATCATCTCTGTGTTATGTATTTACTGAGTAGTTCTTCCACCTTCACCGTGAAGCACTTTCAGTGTCTAAGATAAAGTGCTATATAAATGTAATCCATTGTTATTATTATTATAAAGACCAACGCAACGTGATAGCTTACCTAACAGATTTTTTTAAAAGATCAGTGTTACAAAATATTTCCTACAAAAAAACAGTTTGGGCCAGTACTTAATATTTTGACCACAAACACAATAATCTGGTTTATGTTTTATTTTGTACATATAACAAGGATGTAGTAAAATTTATGTGTGTATCTGCAGACAGCAAAACAGGCCTCAGAAAGAGGAGGTAATTGACTAATTTGCTGTAATGATACTTCACTTCCTAATGTAGCATTGAAACATTGTTTCTTGTCATAATGAAACAGTTTATAGTTTTTATCGTGTACAGGGCAGTGTACAATAAAAATGCATTCACTGTTTCAATAACATGAATGAGTGTCATGTGGTAGCCTAAAATAAACCAATATATTTAACAGTTTGATTTGTAATGGCCTGACTTATTTACCTGCCTAATGGTGCCATTATTAAACATCCATCTGATTCAGACTCCACTCTTTACATGAATTAGCTAATAGGCCTTTTCACTGCATGTATTATGAGTTGTCATAGCAGGAAAGGCACAGGTGGAACTAATAATGTTAATGATAGCTTTGTTCTATTTAAGAGTCCCAGTAAGCCATTAATGTTATTAATTACATCTGTGCTTTCCCTTCAATTACAGGTTGCTGTAAAATCTGAGTTTGGTGGTTTATTTAATATGAAGAGTTGACTAATCATTTAACCATAAATATTCAAAAGATAAAGCTATGGAAGCTAGAATCTCTCTATATTTTTGTTAGTGCCATTTGTAATTAAATAATAATTTTAAATTGTAGCCTATTAATTTATTACAGCCTGCTCTACACACAGTTTATCGTTGTACTCCCCCAGTCCAGTAGGTGGCGGTAAAACTTCATGAAACAAGATGGCTGCACCAACATGAAAACCAGGAACTAGCTAACTCTGTCTGCTCCTCTGTTCTGAACGATGGAGCGCACCACAAGTGAATCCCCTCAAAAAACATTTACCTGCCACTTGTGTGGGTTGAGTAGCCCTTTTACATACCACGGCCAGAAACCACCAAACACCAGAGCCATTGTGTAAGTGAACATTAAGCAAAAGGCTCCTTTTAGTGTTCGGGAGCTAGCTATGCTAAAGCTAATTTTGTTAGCTGCTACGCCAACGTCTAACGTTGGATACACAGCGATTTGTGCGTTGCATTTATAGCATTAACTGCCTTGAAATACATTTATGGTATGTCTCTGTGAACGACATGTTCCTAAAGTAATTTATAATTCAGCTTAATTTTATGCCTACATTTCTGTCGTGCATCAGGTTGCTTGAGGAGTGTTTTGTGACCAGGGACCCCTTCAGTCCGGACAAGGAAAAGTTTCTTGTTTTGGGCTCTAACTGTAGCCTGTGCAACACGTGTGTCTGTGTTGGATCGGTAAGATGTCCTCAACTTGAATTGCTACAGTCTTTTTGCCACAGACTAAATATGTCATCATGTAATTCAGTTTATCAAGTGATTAATGTTGGCATGCTCTTCCAGGGACAAACGACATCATATCAGCAGATACTCTGTGTGTGTGTGTGTGTGTGTGTGTGTGTGTCTAAAGGCAACTGTGAAATAATTTTTGGAACAGAGAAAAGAAATCATTTGAAAACCAAGCTGTGCTCCTGGGACAGTTTTCCACTTGGCATAAATTGACTTTGTAGATCACTGTGCATCTGTGGTTTTGATGTTTTCCTCAGATGACTTTGTAAACATGTGGCACATCTATATGATTGAAATTTAATTAATCAGGTTTCACAAATAAATAGTGTTGAAAACTAAAAGTCAGTGTGAGTTAGGCATGTCCAGTGCTTATGTGAAACTGGAGCCTTGACGCTGGTCTCTTTTGTCAGGACTGCAGTATTTTCTACACCAAGAGGTTCTGCATGCGGTGTGTGAACAAGCACTTGGACCAGTTCCCCCATCAGATTCAGGCCGAGCTGGCCAAGAAGAAGCAGAGCTCCAAGGCTGCTGTCTCATGACATTGGAAAAGAGGTCCATAACCTGCTCAATGATAGAAGACAAATGGTTGAATGCTTATATAAAGAGTCCCAGATGTGTCAGATTTATCAAACCCATACAGGACCAAACTGCAAAAACACCGTACCAAAAGTCAAAACATCCTGTAATTTATTAGCATAGCTCTCGCTTATTATTAGTTTGGTGGAAAATGAACACCACGCATCAGAAAAATACTGGTTCATGTTTGTGGCCAGCAATGTTAGGCTGCTGTATTAGCCTACGGGTGTTATTTGTTTGTTGTTTATTTGCTGAGTTGTATAGAAGGAAGCAACGGGTGTGACTAGAGTTGCCGGATCTCCTGTTGTGGTTGCAAGCTCAGGATCGGACACACTGGTTTGCAGCAGTTAAAAATGGCTACATTTTCAAATTTTTATTGACGGGAACACATTTCCTCATAAATATGGAGGAAGAGCATTAAACTTACTGCTAATATCTGTTTTCCCGCCCAATTCAGCAACAATTCTCAACAATATTATTATAATTGTGTGTCTGAAATGAAGATGTGGAATTAATAACATTTCTCAAGCCCAGTTTCTGGAAAGATTGATAAGATACATATACAATTTGTCTTTGATGAATTGTGCAATGCTTTATTACTCATTTTTATGAGAAAACACATTTTATTACTTTTCAGTGACAGATTGTAACTAACATTTATATGAGTAATTCTCTAACTGCAGACACATGTTTGTGTTGACGCTGACACCTGCTTTTTAAGAGTGCATCATTGTTCTGTCATTTCTGTCTCCATGGTCAGAGGGATCGATGTTGACTTCTGTGGAGTCCAACACTTTTTGCCTGTGTTATCTTAAACTATAAACAGATACATACTATGACCTTCCTCTTGTTTTGTGGCTCTTTAATCGTGGATCACAGTTGTGTAAACATTAATTTTACTGACAGAATCTGCAACAGTTGAATCGTCCCACTAAGTTACATTTATCTGTGTCTTTCTCTGAAGCTAGGAGAATGTGCCCTAATATTTCCAACTGAAAACCCAAAAAAACCCATTGGTTATGCATGTTTGACCCAAACAAAATGTTATTTTGCCTCGTTTCTCAGTTGCCTGTCCAATCAGTTGTATCAAAATCTGTTTTTATTTCTGTACAACACGGTGCACAGTTTGCAGCAGCATAAATGCATTATGGATTAAGTCTGATCCCGGCGATAACATGGATTTAACAGATGGCCTCGTTGTATTCATCACGAGATGTTTGACTCTTTTCAAATGGTTAATTGAAACAGCATGGCCTTAAAGGCAGGCCCAGTGATTTTACTGGCAAATTCTGTGGAGGAATGCAAAGCAGCACTCGCTGTAGAGTTTTAGTTGGGACATTGTGAACTGTACACCAGCAGTGCATAGCCGATGCATTCACTCAGTAACTACAGGATTCTTCTTCAGCTCAGGGATGTCCAGGAGATAAATTTGATAACTTAAGTCTTGACATGAACAACAATTCAATTCTTAAGTCAGGAATTTTCAGGATACAAACTTACTACAGTACTTCCCAGAGGGAAATGGTGGTAAATTTCAAGGTCTTTTTTTTTTTTCCCTTTTCAAAGCTGCACCACTTTCTGTTTCCTTGGTGTTTAAATTCTAAGCACACACAAGCAATTACAACCAGTGAAGCACACAAACCACCCCTGTGGCACCAGTGGCAAAGTCTGACAGCGATAGGCAGCGTGCCAACGATGACGGAAGGCTTTCAGCTTCAGAGCTGATGTCATTGTATGCCAGGAGGCACGTTTGTGGCTTCTTTTTTGGGTTTTCCTGCAAAAAACCCCCCTCATTTTAGAGGTCTCCTTGTCCTTCAGTAACCTGGAGGCTGTAACTGAATGGATTTACACTGATTGAATCAAGTGTGCCTGAGCAGTTTATGTGACACCAAATCAGATCAAGTAGTGATATGTGTCAGCACTCTTACTATCATTTGATGATTGATGATTTTTATCACCAGCCTGGAGCCAAACCACAGAGACTAGTGCTCCTGCTGTGAGATAAATCTCTCTCCAATGTTGTTTTCTTATCAGGTTTTAGCCTACACCTAGCACCTTTATACCGGGGGCATCTTAACTGTGAGTAAACACAGCGACACTTCATAATATCAAATGATATATTTGACCTTAAGGTGTTCAGTTAAATATCTAACTTGATAAATGGAGTTAGGGCTGTGATAAAACAGGTGCTAATGGAAAGACTCACGCACTCCTCTATAACCACAGCGTCCCTTTCTTTTGCTCCTTCTCACGTATTTAAGTAATCAAACAGATTAATTAGGCCATATTCATGTGCGGAGTTAATCCAATGCTGCCCTGTGTTGTTGCCCCGGTTCGACTTTAAGAGCTCTATGGGCGGTCCTAGTGCGCAGACCAATGAATCGCGTTCTCTGTTTAAATAGTCTTGATGTCAACTTTTCTTCTTCAGTCACAGCTCCCTCTAACGCCATGTTGGCTGTTATGACTTGACTTGTTGTTTTCATCTGCCTTACTACGGACTTGACAGGAGTGGCTTTCTTAAACCCCCCCTGCCTTTGGAGAGGTTTTATTCCATTTTAGCGCGTACGCGTTTTGGATGATACGCGCGGAGTATGCATGCGTCATCCCCGCGACTTTGCATTTGAAAGGAATATTACTTGGAAATAGACGTTTGAAGGGCTTTGGTTTTTGTTTGTGTATGTTTTTTCCCTTGTCATATGTGCAACAAAATGTCAGATGTTCGCCTTTCTAATGCGAGCCCGACAGTGGAGAGGGTGGACGCCCGGCAGCCAGACAACATCAGACTTCCGGTCCGCAGAAACCTTTTTGGGAGACGGGACCCTGAGGAGACACGGAGGGATTTCGCGGCTTCGCTGCAGGAAGACGTGCAGGCTTTTATGGATGAGTACAATTTCGATCCCGTCGACGGAAGACCGCTCACTCCGCGCAACTACGATTGGCAGGAGGACAGCAACGCACCGGAGTTTTACCTCCGGCAGCCTCACGGGATCCAGCGGCCCCAGCGAGACGACGATGTGCCCGGCGAGAATACCTGGCAGGATGGCGAGGGGAGCAGCGGAAGGCAGTCGGTTCGCCAACCAGGCAGGCACGGTTCGAGAAAAAGACGTTCAGGAGCTTCAGGTGACTTAAATTGGGCTAACTTACTAAGGGTGTCACGCATGTTTATTTCGCTGTGCCGTGCGTCTCTGCGGTGCCAATGTGCCGCAATGCAGAGGCGCGAAGCAACAGTTGTGTCCGGTGTTCAACCGTAGGCTACAAACAGATGTGTCGAAGGGGGACCACCGAGGGGGACCAACTCAGAATGCCTATACATGTAAAAGTCCTTTGATCTCTTGTTATAAGTGAGAGTAACAGTGTAACGCACACTTTCTTCTATAGGGGACTACACTGTAGTTTGCACGTTTTCACAATTCGGGCTATTCTTGGTAGTGACATTTCTCAGCAATCTGCCGAGGATGTCAGGTGCCCCCCTTTTTTTTCTTTCTTTCTTTTTTTAAGTTGACGTGCAGCTCTACACAACAACACCCTGACAACTTTTTCGCGTGCTTTTTCTTTTCTTTTTGTTGTTGTCAGGTCCCTGCTCCAGCGAGTGTCAGAGTAAAAGGTCGCGTACAGACGGAGGTGATGATGGTGATGAAGACGAGTCGGACGGTGCAGCAAGTCAGGCGCTAAAAGCCGCGGAGGAGAGACCGAGCAGGCCGGAGAACAGCGCGGAGGTCCAGTGAAAAACAGTGCCAGGTTAGAATGATCCTCTCATTAATTCACTGTTATTAACTGATACGGATAATAACATATGGGCTTCCACTGTGAAAAATAGCCTACTATAGGCGTTCAACAGAGTTTCCTGCAGCCTACTTGTTTATCACCAGCATCAGTAACGCTTTAATGACAGCTGTAAACACACATTTATTTCCTGCATGCGGCACTTACACGTCATCAGCCTTTTAAAACTTGCATTCTTTCTTTATTTTCAACCCTCTGCGTGTGTGCGTGACGGAGATCAAGCATGAGCAACTGCTTTTTCAATTGCACCATTCAACAGCCTGTTTCCTCTTTATGTCCCACAGACCGAGGAGACCTGTTGCTGGTGGAATACTGTAGCCTTTCTCATCACCTGACAGATGAGGGAGAAAATATAAAAGCGGCCTTTTCCTAAAGAAGGGAGGAGGAGAGGCTGCACAAGCACTGAATATGTACACTATCAAGTTTTGGCACTCATTTCAATTAAATAGCCTCAGAAGCAGCAGACAATGTAGCAGTGTGCAAATGGATTTTTGCTCATTTTATTTTATATACTACCTATATTTCAGATGTAGCACATAAAAAAAAAGCATATTTTGCTTTTCATAACTTTTGTTAAATGTATTTGAATAAGTGTGAATTCGACTCGGGGAGTTGCAGTGCAATTTCCAACAGAGAAATATTATTTTAGTTGTCATATTGTATCATTTTTCAGGTAATTGATGTAAGTTAAAAATGCAGATTTCTAAAAGTCAGGGTTTTATGGAAACAAAATGTCGTCTTTTTCTATGGCTTTATTTGTCCCAGTGTTATATATCTTGTGTTTGAAGGCCCAGATGGCCAAACTGTAAGTTGAGGGTCCATCTAACTGGGAACAGCCAGGACAGATAAAGTTTACATGCAAATAATGTCTTCTTGTTTCCCATTTTAATAACATCCTTTAAAAAAAAACCAACAACAACAACAACTCTTTTTTGCCAAAGTTTGTGCCTTTTGCTCTGGGGGGAGGGGTGGGAGGGGGAGGGTGGCTAAACTGCTGAGCAATATCCAACCAAATTTTAACAGTATTTGCTAATAACCCTAAGAATTAGCTGTTATTTTTAAATTAGGTGAGTTAATATTTTAGTGGTTTTTAGGTCACATGTCCTGCCCCTTGTAATAAGTGGCGTAGTCCAGGTTAACAGATAAAATATGTTAAAATCCCTGGGCTACTTATGCAAATATGTGAATCAAAGATTTGTCTTTGTCGTGTGGAATTCATGTGGAACATGTAATTGCACTATTGTTAATTTCTCATTTTTTATGGCAGAAAAACAAAGTGACACTGCCTCATTTGGTGTAAAACTTTGAAGTGTACCTGTGTGCCTTTTTATTTTTATTTTTTTGAAAAACACTGAAAAAATTATAGTAACTTATTTATGTTGAACTTTTTGTTGTGGGTGTATGTATAGCTTCCCAAAGTGAAATTTTTTGTAAATATATATTTTCATTATTGTTTTTAAGATAAATAAACTGTTGCAAAACTGAGCCTAATAATCGATTTTATATCCTGTGCATTTTGTATATTTTCTTCAATCTGCAATTTGATTGATTAAAAAGCAGTGCTCGTGTAATTAATGCATGTGCTCACTATTTTGATTGCAGTGCACACAACCACCCCACCCTTAACATACACAATTTAAGTTTAAAATGATCCGCCCATGTAAACTGGCGGACTGATCATAGTGATTAAAAAGACCAAATGGAGATTCAACCATGTTATTAAAGAGGTTTAATGGGTTCTTATTCTTCTGTCTGAGGAATGACAGTAGCGACAGGATCAGCTTATTTTTGTAGTAACCTGACTTCCAAAGCAAAAATAGTCCCAAAAATTACTAATAGCAACTCTATTTCCTATGGAGTTACTGGTTTACCAGTAATATTTGATACAATACAGATATATAATGTGTGTTGTTGGACTAAAATCCATTACACTCAGTCCATCTAAAGTGCACATACATAGTGCAGACTGTGACTGTGCTGGATCGTCTCAGCCCAGCTCTGTCTCTAAAGTTGAAAACAACAAGGGTAGGTCTTGAGGAAAAGAGGGGGGGGGGGGGGGGGTTTTAGTTATTGGCTTTGCCTGGCTCCAATCACAGCAGAGAGAGGAAAAGCAGACCACTTAGGAGCCAGCCAGTCAGAGAGCTGTGGGAGGGAGCTCGGGACAGCACAGGCTGTTCTTTTCATAAAACACACACCACCCAATTAGTTTCATTGGCTACCTCTTTCCTGTTGATACCAGCCTGTAGGAGTCAAATACAGAGTGAGTGAGAGAGAGAACTATTCCTATAATATCTCATACTGGCTGTGATGGCGTCTGCAGTAATTACTAGTGAGCTCATGGCCTTTATGCAAACTTTCAGAGAGGATTGTAACACTGAACACATTGGTGTTCTCTTTTTTGACAGTACACATTTGTTACTTTTGAACACATGTCAGATGACAGCATTATGTTAAAATGTATCAGCATTAAAACAGTGCTGTCTTGGAACGTGGTGCAAATAGGCTATGTGTTGTCATAAAGAAAATAATTTCTGTAACTTCCACTTTGAGGAAGTTTTCAGTTTGTTTGTTTGTGTGTCTAAACTTAGTTGCGTGTCTTTGATCAGTCGAATTTGGTGGAAACAAATCATTAGTTTTTTGTGCTGAGCTGGAAACAATAGCGCTGCCTTGTGGCATTTTATAAAGGACTTGACATTTGAGCTTAACTGATTGAAGAAGAATAGGCCTACAATATCAGTATACATCAACTAAACATTTTAATATTTAATTCAACATTCTTCAAATGTGTTGCATAACACGTAGATGAACAGAACAAAATGTGGATTTGTAATGAAAGGCATGGCCTTTATTTGGCATAAACATAATTCCTGAATCCAATTTTGTAGTTATCACCAAATTTAGATAATTTATGCTCACACCAACTGTCGGAGCCTTTGTTCACAGCACCATCATACACATACAGGGAAATCTGGTACTTACCAGCATGTGTGTTATTCTCATATTTTTGTTCGTCAAGTAAACACAAAAGTAGTCCCCTGGGAATTCCTGTTGCTATTGTAGTGAGCTGCTTAAAATAGCGGCTTTGAGATATTTATTTGGTAAAATATAATGTTATTTAGGTTGCACTAACAGTAAAATTAATTTACTTGATGGAGATGTAAAGCATAGGTGCATTACTGGTACATAACGTATACTCAATTTTGGATATCCTATGTACAGCTTTTACAGAAATACACAAAGTGCAACTTTACTCTAGCATAAATTAATAATTTGCAATTAGAGTGTGCTATGGTATGTCCAATGTATGCTGATGATATTGTAATGTATGCATGTAATAGAACTGAAACTGAAAAAGTTGTTGATTAACTCACAGATAACACTTTTTATTGTTGGCTGATTCGCTGTTGTCTGAAACAGCAGGGTTTGTCTTTGTTTTTATTAAAACTAACCGTTTGGCTAACTCTACATTTCCAGTATGCACACTGACCCTATAAACAAAATAAAACAAAAAAGTAAATGGAAAAGCCTCCAAATGCATTTCCAGTCAGGGTTCATGCATAGAGAATGCATGTAGAGTACATTAAATTAGCAAATTACAACCCTCTCTTGTCTTGTTAAATCACGCTTTCACTTAAGGGAAAGACTTTTATGTTTAAGTGAGTCATGACATTGAGCTGATGTTTGTTGTAACTGACAATGAGTTCTTGTCATTGAAATGTCAATTTCCTCTTCTTTTTCTCAGGTTTCCAGCTACAGTATAATGAAAATAATACATGAAGCAGTAGCAGTTTCACAAAGTCAAAACCGCTCAGAATGATCTCCACTATAGGCAAATGGTAAAACGTTATTTTGTTTGGTAACACCAGCGTATGTTTGTGATAAATTATCTTTCTGAATCCCGCACCATGGCAGAACATCATGTGACCATGCGGTCCAGCTTCTCAGATTAGGATCTGGCTGTTTGGGCCTGATGGGGCCCAGAACTTTCAGGTGGTTACAATTACACTGTCTTGATTGGTGTCCATGTAAAGGCAAATATTGGTCAACAGTCCCAATTAAACTGAATGTCAGAATCAGAGTGCTGGTGGCCAGGGGGGATACGTTATCATTTATCATTTAAATTTGGCATCATCATATGACTCATCTTCAACCTGGGCAGAGGTCTAATTAGCTAGCACTCAAATCACTTGTGTAAATGTGCAGTGTTTAAAAAGTGACACCATTTCAGAGAGAACAAAAATAACTGAGAAATTTTTCGAATCCAATAGAAGAGAAAGAGGTTAACCTTTGACCCCGAGGTGGTGCAGGAAGCAAGGCAGTAGCTCTTACAGTACGCCATGATGCAGATACGACATCACCAAGTTAAAAGATTTCAGAGAACTGTGCCAGGCATGACCACAAAACTAGGGCCTATAGAGGGTGTGAGTGTCTCCCCAGAGTAACCTTTTTTCTTTATTATACTCTAGCTTGGTGAGACACCTATAGCGCACAAAGACACAGCCTCACACTGACTTTTACCAGTCTCTCCTACATTACAAGAAGTATTAATGGGTTTAACCCATCTGTGTACACACACAGGTTCAGGTTGAGCCATCCTGAGTTTGCTTCCAAGTCAGGAAAACACTTCCATATTTCCAGCATTAAATTCGCAGGCCCCTAATTGTTGCTGCAGATAACGAGAGGAGAAATTGGTCATAAAAGTCTGACATCTTGGAGCTGACACTACGGATAGATATTCAGCAGAGGGCCTACAAAGTATGAGATCATAACTTGGCAAACTCTGTAGGGGGGTGGTGGTGAAAGGAGAGTGTTTTTTTTTTTTTACGAATGTCTTGTTATATTCTGGAAATACAACTTCCCCATCTGTTTCATGTTGTTATTAATTTGTCTGATTTTTTTTTTTTTTTACTTAATTTAAATTTTTTTACAAGGGCAGGGCTGCTTTATTTTTCCGCTTCATTTTGCCTCATGGTCATGTGCTCCTGGCAGCGGTGAGACTGGGAGAGATGAAGTGGAGATAGTTAGGAGGAAAGAAAAAAAAGAAGGAAAGAGGCAGAGAAGGATCGAGTTAAAGGAAGGAAAGAGAAGACTGGCTTTTTGGCTGTGCCTTGCTGCAGCCTGGCCAAATCACGTCCAGTGCAGGATGTAAACAAACTAATCTGCCAATGTGAAGTTTTTACACATTTTGGTTTCTCTCTGGACTGTGTGACTCATGCAGCCTGGCTGTGTGGCCTCTGAGGCTGGCTGGCTGGCCTGCTGCTACAGTGCTGGTGTGTTTAGTTTGCCTTGCAGCAGGGGTCACCAAGATGGTGCAGGCCTGCTATGTTCTCAACTAGAACATACAAACGCCCTTTGATAAAAGTGGATAAAGGCAAATAACTTCTGCCTTTTGAAAAATAAAAGTACTGTGAATTTTCTGTGGAGACTGGCAATGTTTAGCTTTACAATTAAGCTCAAAACTTAAACGTAAACTTAAAATCCTGAAGTGTTCTGTTTTGGTTCATTTGGCGACACCTGTAGTTAGTTATGGTAACAGCAGTAAGTGCGGTTTAATACAACAGCAAACACTCTTAAAAGAGATGAGCAACTGGTGTATCTGTAATAAATAAATAAGTTTTTCACCCAACAACAAGATCTGACAGTATTTTGATTTTTAAACTGATCCACCATCAAAAAAGTTTTGACAAACAATCAAAACTTTGTTTTGCTGATACTGCTTCACAGTAAAAGCCACCCTGTGTTTCACTGGTTGAATATTTTTAAAGTGAAACAGCAGCAGTAGGAAATTTTCAGTTTGCATTAGCAGTAACTTAATAGCTGTGACACAGTGTAGAGCATGAACAGTAAACAGTGAGGCTGATTTCAATGAGATCAAATTACACTGGTTTACGCGGGATGCTTCCTGTGAATCCCTAATGCGTGTAAAGTAATTTGAATCCATTGTGCGTATGGCAGACTCTGACACCAAAAGTAAAAACTACCATGTAGCGAGGTACAGTAAATTAAATACACTGAATTAGAACTGTAACGATTAGTCAATTAATCGATTAGTTGATTGTCTGAAAATTAAAAAACTATTGTGATAATCAAATTATTATTTCAACAAAAATGCCAAACAATTTCTGGTTCTGTTTGTCATTATATTTCTTACGGAATGAATCCAGTGTATTTATGTCATGGAAACAGTTTTTTGACCTCAAGGCCGGCTAAATGTTCTCTTTAGTTTTAGACCTACACATGCACACAAACACACATGAATGCACCATCATAGCCTTTTCCATCCCTTTGCAGGTCTTTACTTTCTTTCAGTCGTGTCTAGGTGGTTACCCTAGATTTGCGATTGTACACGTTGTTCATTGTGCATTGGTTGTCATTGTGTACCGCGTTGTTTCTTCCATCAGATTAGTCTATTCTGTAGTGCAGATGTAAGATTGCCGTGCATTGCAACAAATAGCCAAGTAGCCTACAACAGAATGACTTGTCATCATCTAGGCTTGT